TTTACTGGTTCTGGGTGCTCTTAAGTTTTATGATATTTGTGCGATGGAGTAAGACTTTTCAAAAGTATTATTAAACTTAAAAATACTAAAATGTATCTAGAAAGTTTAAAATCTTTTAATTCTAATGTTTATGTTCTGGTTGTATTGGTATGCATGTTACACTCGTATGTTTATGTTTTGGTTGAATTGGTATGCATGTCACACTCATATGCCCAATGTGTTACACTAATGATAAATAAAAAACACAACTGGCTATGGATAGTAGGTTTGTAATCTTAATTCAGAAGATTAGTATTTGTTTGGAATTGACTGCTAGCTGTCCCAAAACATGATGTGTCAAATACATTCATTACATTTACAATAAATGGGATGATATTCTAAATATTCTTATTTCTCCAGGTGGTACATGTTCCATATATAATTCGTACATTTCAACTATAACTTAGAATCCAATTTTACTTTGCTGAAATAATGTTTTAAAAGGTTCAATCAAATTATACATGAAAGTGTTCTATATATGATTCATTCTAACTGCATCATATAGAATTAAAATCGGGAAGATTAATAAAATTAAAATGTTGAAAATGTAATGATGGGTGTGCTCATTAGAATTCACAATAATGTAAGGTGCTTAATTTGAATAAGTCAGTATTATAAAGGTGTCATGATAAAAGTTGGTCACTAAAACTCGTATCTAACTCTTCACACTTAAGTTTAGTAGCAGGATTTAAATAGTTAAACAATAAAAGTTTCATTTTAGTATGTTCTGTAATTAACTTCACCATTTACATAAAACTTTTTCAGCATGCAGTTTTTTTAACATGAAAAGTATCTAATAATTATGGAGTTTTATAAATCAGCCAAGAATAAAAATAGTGTAACAACTCTTTCTCGCAGTAGATGAGGTTTAAAGAAAATACATATCCATATGGTTTCTATGTTAAAAAATGATAAAATATACGTATGTACATGTATTAATCATATTCAGAAACAAACTCAATAACAAGGTGTGTTACTGAAACAATGCACTATGTATCAATTTTAAGCTGTATAGCAAACTTACTTATATTAGAACAGGTTGATCTTCAAAGATATTTTCACATTAAGAATTAATGTTTTAATTAATGACACAAAATGTAATCAATTTATAATACATAACATAAGAAGCTTATTAGTAGCCTGTTAATACACATAGTGTTAGTTTCTCAACAATATGAAAAAAAAATTAACATTTGTATATAACAATGTACACTATGAAATTATATACAAATACAATTTAATACATATTAGTGCATATAAAATGCTGTATCACTGCAACCTTGTTTAGTAAATCCTCAAGTTTCACTAAAGAATACTCAAATATAAACAGAATTACTGTCACATTGACATAGAGGCACACACTAATTTTAATTCAGAAAGTTTTATACTAACCAGATTATCTTGCTACAACAAACATATGTCCTTTAAACTTAAAGGTACATCCACATGTTGACTCAGTTGCAAATCTCGTCACTTTTACTACCATCTTCCAGAGTTAAAATCCTTAAAATTTTTTATAAACAACTTTATCAAAGTTTAATTTAACTAATATACATTGGCAATTACAAGAAGTATAATGAATTTTTACATCTTCATCTCACTATGATGATGCCTGCTCTCTCTCTTTAAGGGTTAAGTTCAGGTATGTGATTTAAAGTTGTCATATTTTTGTTAATGAATACGTCCAATTAGAGCTGCGATACAATTTTCAATACGTAATGCAAGTAAATTCAAATCATCCATATGCAAGTAGAAAAAAGGAAAGTCATCAATTTCTCTAAAAACTATTAAATGATAATAACATCTTATTTAATGGTGTAATTACTAATATATATATTTCATGTTATTTGCCTACACTTTTTCTCAAGTAATTCTCAAAATTTCCATGAACTTTATAAAACTATATGAAAGGTTACTATTGCTGAACTAACCAAAAATACACATCTTATTTCTATGAGTCAATAATTTAAAAGAGTAAGAATACTAAGTTACTGAAAGGTAAGCATTCAGTTATATCACACAATAAACAATGATATTACTTATCGAGGACCTTCTGGAGAAAATCAAACTTTTTCAATGTAAAGCAATATATGATTGTTAGATGTAGCACTACCGGGTACAACAGGAGCATCAACATTAACTAACTGGTAATTTTTGTTACATATATATATATGGATCTCAAAATGAGTTAACTGAATCACAAGATTCATATTCAGTTTAGTTTTATAAGAGGTTTACACTTATTTTCATGTTAGGTGAAATTGAAAGATTTTCTGAGCAGCTTGAGATGATTTTACATTAAAAATGTTTTGGCATTGACATGCCAGACATTTTTTCTGACAATATATTTTGATGACTACATTATGTTACTCTCAAAATATCTGATGATGACAGGCTAAATAAACACCATCTTTCAGTTATCGTAGCTTAATGATTTTACATTACTTTAATCTTAAATGTTCAAGCATTTAAAATGGCAGACACTAACTTTCTGACAACAAATTTGATGAAAATTCTATATGTTGTGGCTGCGACAGAGTTTGCGCCTCATATTTTTGACAACATACGCCAAAACTCCAGATGATGTTACTCTGAAAGTGTTCCAGTGATTACACAATAAACACTGCTTTTTTGACAACATGATTTGACCAAAACCACAGACAATGTTGCTCTGAGTGTTCCTGTTGATTACAGAATACATACTGCTGTTTTGGCAATATGATTTGGCCAAAATTCCAGATGATGTTGCTCTGAAAGTGTTCCAGTGATTACAAGCTAAACACTGCTTTTTGACAACACAGTTTGGCCAAAACTCCAGAAAATGTTGCTCTGAAAGTGTTCCAGTGATTACAAGCTAAACACTGCTTTTTAACAACACAGTTTGGCCAAAACTCCAGAAGATGTTGCTCTGAAAGTGTTCCAGTGATTACAGGATACACATTGTTTTTTGACAACACAGTTTGGCCAAAACCCTAGATGATGATACACTTAGTGTTGCAATGATAACAAGATTCACATTGTTTTTTTTTAGAATACAGTCTAGCCAAAACTCTAGATGATGTTATTCTAAAAGTGTCCTGGTGATGAAGGCTAAACACTTTTTTAGTCACTATAATTAAACAAACATATTTTCATGTTTAATACTTCACAATGAAAACCCAATAGAGATGAATTTCTTTCTGAAAATATACTTGGACAAAACATAATATATATATATATGTTATTCTGAAGCTGACCAAGTGATAGTTGAAAGCCAGTTACTCACCAACAACACCTCTCAACAATGTCATAGTAATAACTATTTAAAACTAAACCTTGCTACATGCATACGTTCTTCTTGTCTGTAAATATTTGTAATCTAAAATGAATAATGCCAAGGGTGTACATCAGTTTACAAATTGCAGCGAAGTTATATTTTAGTTTTTCTTACTTTCTTGGTTCCTCATCTATTAAAATAAATACTATACTAAATACTCACATTTCCCAGTGATAAAATATAAGTGGTTTTCTGGCTTTCAAAAAACACGTGTCTTTTTGACCAGTTAGTACCTGCTACATTAATGTAACTTACTTGTATGGTGCATCTTCTTGGTAAGTTAGTACTGGTTATAGTAATGTAACTTACTTTGATGCTGCATCTTCTTGACCAGTTAGTACTGGTTACAGTAATATAGCATACTCTGATGGTGCATCTTCTTGGCCAAGCAGTACTAGTTATAGTAATGTAACTTACTCTGATGGTGCATTTTCTTGAGCAGTTAGTACTGGCTACAGTAACATAGCATACTCTGATGGTGCATCTTCTTGGCCAAGTAGTACTGGTTAGTAATGTAACTTACTCTGATGGTGCATTTTCTTGAGCAGTTAGTACTAGGTATAGCAAAGAAACTTACCCAGATGATGCATCTTTTTCATTTGTTAGTGCATGCTACAGTAATGTAGCATACTCTGATGGTACATTTTCTTGAGCAGTTAGTACTGGGTACAGCAAGGAAATTTACTCAGATGGTGCATCTTTTCCATCAATTACTGCATGCTACAGTAATGTAGCATACTCTGATGGTGCATCTTTTCCATCAATTATTACATGCTACAGTAATGTAGCATACTCTGATGGTACATTTTCTTGAGCAGTTAGTACTGGGTACAGCAAGGAAATTTACTCAGATGGTGCATCTTTTCCATCAATTACTGCATGCTACAGTAATGTAGCATACTCTGATGGTACATTTTCTTGAGCAGTTAGTACTGGGTACAGCAAGGAAATTTACTCGGATGGTGCATGTTCTTGACCAATTAGTGCTTGGGACAGCAAGGCAACTTATTCTGAAGCAGGGGTGATAGGGTAAGGGGGAGGAAGGACTGCTGGGCCTATAGCTATTCCAAAGTATGCCTCAGCCTTTCCTGCACCAAACAAAACGTGCTCATTGTTAAAGCTGGTTCACTTCCTAAATAATACAGTATGTGTGTGTGTGTCCATAGAATGTAGAGTGCAGAACCCCCCATTTTTTTTGCCTAGCCCAGCTTAGCCCCATTACCAAAAAAAGGCTGACACCACTCCTTCTCTGATGGCACATCTTCTTGGAAAGTTACTACTTGGTAAAGCAAGATAACGTATTCTGATGGTACATCTTGGAGAGTTATTACTTGGTACAGCAAGACACCTTATTCTGATGATACATTGTTTTGGAGAACTACTACTTACTCTGATGTTTCCATAATGACAATACATGGTTTGATATCCTCTATCTTTAACCATTTGATTACTGTCAAATTAAAAGGAATATACTCTTGGCATTCCACAAGTTCCCCATTACAAAGAGTTACATCACTTCATTTTTTTCAAGCTTACATGTACATATATAATTCAAAATGTTTATGTTACACATGATAGTGGCTAAGTAAGATAAAACAAGTTTCCCACCCCCCATCCCACTCTCACACTAATTTCCCTCCCCAGCCCATCCCTTGTTAATCCCCAGCCCTAACTAAATGTTATAGTTCCATATCTTTTGTTTCATCATCAGAAAAGTCACTCATTGAGCTTTCACTACTAGATGACTCTTCTCCCTGCTCTCTAAGGGCTTCCTCTGTTGCATATTTTCTAACATAATCTATAAAAAAACAAGAAGTTTAATAGTCTTAAATCTACTACATGGAAATAGGAAGAATTGAATTATGTTATGTTTAAAAACAAAACACTTCACAGGTTCATTCTGAAATATTTGGATGTAAAGACTTTATTTAAGACTTTTTTTTTTCATTGAACAGGTGATTTTTATACTTACACTCATTACAAACTTCTATATAAATTAAACATTTTATTTTATTAATAGCTATATTTCTATTACATTGTATTAGTAGCTATATTTGAACATCCACCTACAGTAGCATCAGACTGTGGATGATAAGTTTTAAAACAGTAAATATGTTTAACAAAATATACATACATACCCAACATTTGAGAGGACTATTTTTTTTTATTAAATACTGAATTTATATGCATAATGGCATGAATTCTGCATCCTAAAGCTTTTCAGCAAAGTTTTAAACTTGTAATAATGATCTTTATGTAGTGGATGTGTGCATTTCTCAAAGTAAGAATGAACCTATATTTCATCAAAGTTATTTCCACCCGAGATTACATACCACTACTTTTCAATGGCACATGGCCATTTTGAGTTGTTTTCCGTCTCCTATTGTTTTCGATTTCATCACACTTTGATGGATTGATCTTTGGGTAGTGAACAACAGCATTTACCTCCATTTCTTTAATAAAATTTCTTCCCTTAAAATAAGAATTTAAGTATTTGACCTTTTTTTATAATTACCTCATTTGCATATTTATCATGCCAACAGATTTTCCATAAACATTCTTGTATGATAATTATTATTAAGAATATGGTGATTATCAGGACCAAGTTGTTTTTTTTTCGTAAAAATGGAAGTATCACAGCTCAAGATAGCCATCAGGGTCAGCAGACACAGTAACAGTAAAGAAAATGTTTTTTCAATGCATTTGGTTAACTTCCCTTGTAAGGTGACAGACTTTGGGTCCTAATTGAGTATATAAACATTAATATGACCCCAAAGGTTAGTTTTCAAGGCCATTAAAAGGTTAAAGTCATTACACTGTTTTCTTCTTGTCATAATTAGTCAAATGATGAGGCTGAAATGACAGTCACATACAAAGGTCATGATTTTAAAGATTGAGATGGCTCTGAAGATCACATTTAAACCCAGCATGATTTATTTTTTTATAATTTCAATAAATCTTTTCATGTCCTTAACTGCAATATAGAATTTCACTTATGAATTATGTATACTTTATTTTATTTGATAAAGAAAATTGTTTTGTAGTATTTGTTAAACTAAAATGAATTTGTAAGCTAAAACATACTGTGCTTAAGAAAGTATGTTCCTACCTTGAACTTTCTTTTTGTAGTCTTCTGGTTTATGTAAATACATTGCAGCAGCATCACCATTAAGAGGGTCAATAGGGTTAGGGTACGTCAACAGTTGAGGAAGGAAGGAGTCGAAGATGTTTGATAGATCTAAGGCATAAAAACATCTTTTACCGATGGTAATGTTGGAAACACATTTATAGGATATTAAAAAGGGAAAAGTATATAGTTCCAAAAACTCATTTAAAGAAAATTAGTTTGCAAACAGTTGTGATTCTTGGTTAAGTACTATTTTTCAAGTTGTAAAAAGTTTTAGTTTATTTTATCTTAAAATAGTGTGTCAAAAATAACTTTAGTACACCATGGCATATTTTACTATATATGTAATCTGTACTGTTGTTTCGAATGGTATATTATTAGGAGAAAATTTTCTACTTATTTTTTCAAAGTGCACAATCTCTGATGCTAAAGCTATTATTACATGTACCTTCACAAGTCTTTGATTTTTACATAGTCTCATATTTTACAAATGTGGTTTATAATCATTGTTAAAACAAATTTTTCATGCATGATCACAATTACATAAAAGCAAGGTACCATAAAGTGCTGTCCAAGCTTGATTGATGACATCCAGACACACTGTTCCTGAACTACGAATAAAAAAGAAAACTTTATATTTGAAATTTAAAATGAGCTTAAAGTACAATACTCTATAATACTTCAACTACAGCCACAGCATCACATTTTTCTTACAACCATTTAAACTAACTAAAAAAAATTTTATTACCATTATACTGTATTTTAAGACCCAAACTCTTTAGCTTGAACCCCCCCAAAAACCTTAAATACTCTGGCTGAGGACTCCAACCTAATTATTTAATAGGAATTTTAAATAATAGCCACTATGAGGTACCTTACTTTCATTGCAAATTGTTCTTTGAAAAAAAAAACATCAAGCATAAATAATGCTGTGCACTCATATTTATTGCAATAAGTAAAATTATTCCTGAAAATATTGCTTTGCACTGTGGTAAAAAAAGTTTTCTACGTGTGCTGAGGCTACCATAAGACTATTTTGTGGGCCCCAGTTTGGGAACCACTGTTTTAGAAGGTGTAACTACACATATAATTGTATTAAAAAGAACCACCACGTAAACTTGTGTTTGTGTTTTTTTAAATTCTTCTTAATTTGTCCACTTCAGACTTGAAATTATAGGTATGTAAATAACATCTGCAGTTTATATGATTTTTATCACAAATGTTGGATCTATTGATTTCCAATGCTCCACCAGCTTTTGATGTTTTAACGGTAACTTTAAAAACAGTATTAAATACATCTTGGTTTGTATAGGCAATATACTTTCATCCCTCATGTATGTCTACCATAAAAATGTTTGACTGTGTAGTAACAATATTAACTCTTCAAACAGAACTGAGGGAAAAAAAAAAAGTTTAAGTTACTCATCTAATTGAACCCTTTATCTTCCATTTTAAACCTTTTAGGCCAATTTTTCATGAAAATGAGCTAAAACTTATAAAATAAAGAGAAAAGGTAAACATTAACATGTATGAAAATGTATTTTACTATTGAAATTTGTGTGACTGGTTATTTATGAGGCATAATCTTATGCGTAAACTTTTTATGTGAAGCTTTATTCCAGACACAACAAGACATTCTGAAGTCAGTTTGTCACATGAACATGTATAAGGAAGCACCAAGAAAAATCACAATGAAATATTATAGGTTATTGTGACAGATGGCCTATGTTTTTATTAGTGCACAAAACAATACAAGTTTTGAAAAAGTAACTTATGTACACTCAGGAATCATGGTTGAGCCAGCTAGAATCATGCATCAAGTACAGCTAAACAGAATCATTCCTCAGAATAACAGAGAACCCAGAACAAGAAGTAAAGGACAGCAAAAAACAAATTTGTTCAGATTCTAAATGAAAAATTAATGAGGCAAAGCCAAACAAAAAGGAATGGTGGTAGGATGGTACAAAGCAGAGCATCCTGAAGGCCCAGAGAAGTTTCACTGAGAGTCAGTACTGAAACATAAACATTAAGTTTTTAGATGCTGAGTTGAAGTTTATTAAGCAGTGTACTATAAAAACACATCTCAATAACAGTTAAGAAACATGAGCAATGACACAAAACAATGTTTAAGTAACAAAATGCCTGGAAAACATAAACCATCCAAGAATTTGTGTATGCATGATAAGAGTGTATAAATATTACTTTAAAAAATGTTTACTTGTGTTTCAGAAACATAAGCCATGAATCTTTGCTACTATGATCACTAAAATTCAACTCAACCAATGGAGGTGCATTGTAACATGAAAGGAATATTATGGCAGCACACTCAGAAATAACTTCTAATGAATTTGAAAAGATAATTTTTTAACACCTCATATATGCAGGTGCTTCTGATTTAATAAATGTGAGATTGCCTGACAAACCAACAAGCATCACTGGTTTATGCAAAAGATTCATGAGATCAAGTCACACACATTACATAAGTAATCACACAGACTCATATAAACAATCAAAATATAAAGCTTCCTCTTCATCCACAACCATCAAAATTATTTTATCATTATTTCTTTATTTTAAAGGTTAAAAAGAAGTATCTACTATTCAAATACCTATCCAAAACTTCAGGCTCTTGAACATGTACTTCACTTACAAACTGTCCAACAAATTTTTCTTTGTCACATGTTTAGTGAAGTGGTTTTGTATGAATCATTACTCTCCAATACATAATTTTGTACTATAACAATTATGATTAGCCTTGCTGTTATATGAAATTTTTTTGTGATCTATGCCCATATGACAGCATAATTCTTTTTTACTTGTTTCACATGAGATCATAAAATATTAAATGTACTCTGTAAACAAAGATGTTTAAATAATACTGTAAAAACGGAAAAAAAATTTACAATACTTACACTTCATCAATATTTGGATGGTAGATCTTGTTCATAAATCCTAAAATGAGATTAAAAATGAAAGCCAGTAAATACTGTAAACAAATATCAAACAAGTTAAATGGCTGAAGTCTGCTTTCATACACCACTTAGAAACAAGTTTTCAACTAAATTTACTGAAGTATTGAATCGATAAAATTCCGCAGTAACTTGCATGTATGTATCTTGACAGCTACAAATAAAATATATTTACCAACTGTCTTTTAACCCTCTCCAGACGGGTCAAAGGCTATATCATTGTGTTTGTTGACTCACATTCAAAATTTTATTGAACTATTATTTTATGAATTTATGTCATTAAGTTTGGTAACAAACTGTAGATTATAATTCAAATTTTACTATTATACATCATTTAATTTCTTAATTTAAAAGTAAATATACAATATGATATGTGAATAACCAATCAAAAGCTCAGAATGTCCTCCTAGTGGCTTTCTCAGCCATTTTCATGTGTTAGGATGCCATCTCATTCTTTAAAAACAAGAATTCATGGAGGTAGGTTGTGTCTTTAGTCTGCTTGAAATTTCATATTTTTTAGGCCAAAATACAGGTTAGTTACTAAACTTGATAAATTATTGTGGAATTCTATGGTATCAATATAGTAATTTATGATTTTTTTGGTTATTCAAATGTATATATAAAACCTAAAAAAAAATTATTTTGTTTCACATCCTCCATGTTCAAAACTTCTTCAACCAAGTACAAAGGTCATAACTAGAAGAGATAATGGTTTGCTTTACTTCTTTATTTACTGTTTTGTGTTTTAAGAAAAATAAGTTTAAGAAATTATTTGTAAATTGTAATAATCTCCAAACATATATAATATGTATATATAACATAT